AATTAGTAATAAGAAATAAGAATAAATCATAGAATCTAATGATTGAAAGAGACATTAAGGTTATCTATTTTAATGATCTAAAAAGAATTAATCAAACAAATATACAGAATTTATTTAAAAATGCAGGGATTGTATCAAACATAAAATATGTTCTCAATATTAATCAAATAAATGCAAATTTAAAGTATATACTATTATAATTATTATTTTCCAATTATAATGAATAAAAATAAAAAAATATATATACTATTTTCTATTTATCACTTTCTTGAAGATGAAAAATATTACTCTAGATACTATTCATTAAAGAAGGCATTCTCTTTCACTGTTGGTGATAATATCTGCTTTAATCTCTTTGGAAAGCTTTTAGCATTACATAAACTAGGGAGGAAAAAACATTATATACAAAAAAATTTTACCTACAAAGATCTTCCTTATGGCCTAATTTTAACTTATAATGGCTAAAAACTGAAAACAATTCAAAAATGGTTAATAGTGGAATAGGTATATAAATTGTGGTATATATACTAATAGAATATTAGCTACCATTCTAATAAAATATCTATAATATGAAAAAATACACTTATTATAAATTTTGTTAAAAAGCAGGTATAACATTTTATATATAGACTAAATGTAGCAATATTTTAAAGCAAAAGCTATGTACTGAGAAAAGATTAAAAATAAACCCACAAAAATGTTATTAGTAATGACTGTCTTGATGTGTTGAAACTCTGGGTACTGAGCCAACTTTCTGCTTCTTAAGTTTTCAAAATTTATCATGTACATTACTCTTACAAAGGAAATGTATTTGTTTTAAGAGAGATTCATTCAAAATTAGGATTTTGTAACTCCCCAAATAAAGAGAAATGTTGAATCCAAACAGCAGATTTATATAATATAACAAACAAAAAGTTTTGGAAATTCTGTTCAACAAATATTTGCTAAGTACCCGCTATGGAGAAAAATAGAGACAGATGCTGTAATTTAAAAAACAGTTAATAAAAAAATAATCTATTTAGCTATGTTTTTATAAGAGAGTTATATATCTAATGGAAGTAGAAGTTGCAGAGAAGGTAAATGAACAGAGAAGAAGGTTTGATAGGAGATGGGAAAGGTAAGAAGATCCAAAAATCCTAGAAAAAAATTAATTGAAAAAGACATTTTACAAGTCCCTGTGAAAAAAGTGTTCTATAGGTCAGGACCTCTATAGAGGTGCTCTATAGGGTCAGGAAATAATTATTTTTAATTTGCCTTTTTAAGATTTTATCTATTTATAGGCCTCAGAAAAAAGAAAAATCTTAGCAAAAATGTTTCTTAAGTAAATAACCTCATGAGGTCAACTTTTCCTTGAATTTTTAGTTAATGCTCTCTACTTTTAAATTTCTTCTATTATCAAAGCCATTCTAAAAACCAAAAAGACAATCAGAGATGCCCACAGTCTCTGATAGGTTTTCTAGTATATCATATACTGACAAACAAAAAGAGTGACTGTTAAGTTCAATTTGTTTCTTCAGCATGAACCATAGTGTTCGGTACTCAGTAAATGTCCAAAAAATAAACATACACAAACATCTCTAAGTTCTCAGTGAATCAGTTTAAAAAGAGAGAGCTTTAACTGCCTTATCTTTGTAATACACTAGCATGATTTGAGGGAGTTTAGAGATGGAGAAATACTTTGAAGAGGTTTTTTCCATAAATGTCATTAAGGACTCCAGAATACTGGTATCTTACTAATGCCATCTTCTTCTCCCAATCCCAAAAGAATAATTAACAGTAACCACAAATAATTTATTTAATGATTTTTGTTTTCAATAAATAAACAGCAATAAAATTTACATCTAAATATTTAGAAGATCTCAGAAGAAACAAAAGTATGTTTACCTGTGAGGGTCCTTGGAACTTGGTATAATATACACACATTCCCTCTTGGTCAAAGTGCTTTCTATCCAGGATTTCTGGGACTAAAACAAAAAATTTTAAAGGATGATTTATAAGTTAACCCATTATTATAAGGAGGAAATAATTTCTTGATAAATACATAAAAAATAGTTGTATAATTTTTTTCAGTTCACTAAATACTTACTAATACTATACTGTTACTGATGATAACAAACTTAAAACACTAGAATAATTCTACTTAAATACAATGTGATTTAGATTATAACATCAACAGTGCTGTGTAGATCCTGATGCCTCAAACAGCCAGAGAGGAGGGAAGCCAGGTTTGAGATTTCCACCGTGAGCCAAAAACTTTAAGAGTGGCTGATGTGATCCCAGAATACAGGCCATTTAAAAGACAATTAAAAGTGATTGTCAGATTTAATTTAAAGAATAAAACCCAGCTATATTCCATTTCTAAGATCAATACCTAAAGCATAAGGGCATGGAATGGTCAATGGTGCAGCAATAGAAAAGACATCAAGCAAATTCTAATCAAAAGAAAGGTAACATCAGAAAAAACAGATGCTAAACATCAACAGAGATGGAGCAGATATTACATGATTACATTCAATCCACCAGATTGCTATAATAATTTTAAATATGATTAACCAAATAAAATAGCTTCAAAATACATAAAGCAAAAAATTAATAGGGAGAATTAGACAAATACAGGATCAGAGTAGAAGATTAACACATTTAGCTCAGGAACTGAAAAATCAAACAAAAAATAATCAGGAAAGACATTTAAAAGGTTTTAACAACATAATTAATAAGCTTGACTTAATATATGCCTGTTCATGTATATAACAAACAGAAGATCCTTTCATTCTCCTCAAGAACACATGGAGCATTCATAAAAATTGATCATGTACTTGACCATAAAGATTCAACAAATTTCAGATAACAGGTACCTTTCAGATCACATTCACAGTTCACAATGCAAGTAATACAATGGAAATAAGTTTTTTAAACCCCCAATATTTGAAACTGTTTAAATAACTTGAGAATCAAAAAAATTCATAATTAAAAATATGAAATTGTTAGAAATAAATAATAGTGAAAATTCTGTATATTTCAAAACTTGTACAATGCAGTCTGAATGGTGCTTTGAGGGAAATGTACAGCCTTAAATGATTACACTGGAAAATAAAGGCTGGAAATTAATGAGCTAAGTGTCCGATTAAAAAAATATATTGAGGGCCGGCCCGGTGGCGCACTCGGTAGAGTGCGGCGCTTGGGAGCGCGGTGGCGCTCCCGCCCAGGGTTTGGATCCCATATAGAGACCGGTCCGATCACTGGTTGAGCGCGGTGCGAGCACAACACCGGGGGTTGCGATCCCGTTGCTGGTCGTGACACCGGGGATTGCGATCCCGTTGCCAGTTATGGTGCGGGCATGACACCGAGGGTTGCAATCCCATTACCGGTCACGAAAAAAGACAAAAAGGAAAAAAAAAAAATATATATATATATATATTGAAAGGATAAACTCACAGAAAGAAAAGAGATAAAGATAAAAGCAAAAAGCAATGAAACAGAAAGCAAAATCTAAAAAAGCAAAATAAGCAAAGGTAAAAAGTTGGTTCTTAGATTAATAAAATAGGTAAACCTCTATCAAGATTGAACAAGAACAAACAGAAAGCACAAATAATAGAGTGAAAAGATACAATATAACTTAAACTTACATTAAAAAATAACAGAATACTATCAACAACTCTGTGCCAAAACATTTTAAAACACGTGGAGACAAATCCTAAAAAAGTATAATAGCTCGAATTAAAACACACACATATAAATATACACACAAACATATATACTCATACATATATGAGTATATACACATAAAGAAAGAAAGTGGTACACTGGGGAAACTTAGTTGGTGAAAGGTTTCCAGGAATTTTCTATAGTATCCTCTCAACTTTTCAGTAAATCTGAAATTACTGTATTTCAAATTAAAAAGATTTTTACATTAATTTTTTATACCTCTACTTAGGCTTCTGCCTGGATTCCCAGACTCTGTATCCTGCTACTGATTACTGATTAGAAAGAACCACTTGTATATGAGGCATTATGTACTGAGTTTAGGTATTATGAACTGAGATTAGGAGAAACTCTATAAATTAAGACTGAACCTAAAAATCTTAGGCTTCATATTCCTATCCAATATACATATGCTACAGTAAAGTATAAAAAAGATCCTATATTCCTATAGGAAACCTCTGGGAGAAGAGACATTCTATACCAAATTATGATGGAAGAAGTCTTGCAGTTTCCTCTCTTGAATCCTTTAGGCACCCTAATGATAAACCTTATTTTATTCCCAACCTTCTAATACTGGTTCCAAAATTCTGTCTTTCCTTGCCTCCAATCAAAATTTCCATTTCTCATACCACCAGCCCCCCCCCACCTCAAATTCCATTTCCCAAGTAAAAGGTGCTCCTTTAAATAGGCTTGCTTAGGTAGGAGCAAATTATACCATAATCCTCCAGACATTAAAAAAAAAAAAAAAAAAAACAGGATGCTCTCTGGAACTTAAGGTCCTTCATCAGCATAATTCCGTATACTCTAACGTGCATTTAGTATAGTCCCTCCACCATCTTCCTACTCTAACTAAAAGCTGGTTACCTCCTGAAAAACCTGCTTCTCTTACATTCCTCTCAGGAAAAAAGTAGGAATCTCTTTAGTTTCACTGTACTGGAAGTTATGTTTGCTTCTAGCCTACACCTGGCAAACCCAATTCTGATTCAATCCAATTCCCTCCTACTGTACAAGTATGACTGTTTATGTACTCGTAATATGATTAGAAAAAGCACTATGCCCTTTGGTTTCACTTTAAAACCCTGACCACAAACTTCAAACAACCCTTAATGATGCTCAACAATCACACTACATTTCCCTGGTCCATTTTCTCACTCTCCTGGATGACTTCACACCATCTCCTTCTCTCCTCAAACCTGCAACCCTCCACTGCCATTCTCACTTTCAACTGATGACCTTATTTCCCATTTCACTGAGCAAATTCAAACAACCAGAAAACTTCTGCAAAATTCTATCTCATCCACCCATCAATGTGCATCTATATCAACATATTCTGCCTTTCCTCGTGTGACTATGTATGCTCCCACTTAAGTTCAACCACTCCTCACATGCCCTACACCCTGTATATCCCTTCTCTAGATCAAGCACACTCTCCAATTCTCCCCTCATTTTTTTCTTCTTTACTGCCCCATTCCCATCAGCATGCAACATGCTCTTATTCTCCCATCTTTAAAAAACACAACAAATGGTTTCTTGATTCCACTTCCTCCTCAAGCTACCACTCCATGTTTCTGCCTCCATCTACAGCAAAGAGTATTGCAAAAAAGTTTCTCCCTCTTTTCTTCTCCTCCCACACATTCTAGAACTCATTCCAAACAGGCTTTCAAGCCAACCACTTTCCTGAAATAAGTTTTGACAAGACCACCAATAACATTCACTAAATCCAAAAGTCAATTTTCAGGCCTCATCTTCATTGATATATCAGCAGCACTTAACAAAGTTTATCATTGCCATCTTCTTAAAACACTTTCATCAGTTAGATTTTCTTCCTCTCATGGGCCAATCTTTTTATGTCCTTGCTGATTCCTTCTTTTCTTCCCAATCTTTTAAAGGCTGGCATACCTAAGGGCTCAGAATTTAGACTTCTTCTTTCCAACTACATTTACTGTTTTAGTGCTCACATTGATATGCTGGATGACTCTCATATTTACATTTCTTTTTGGGGGTGCAGCTGGCTGGTACAGGGATCTGAACCCTTAATACACATTTATATTTCCATCCCAGATCTTTCCTTGAACTCCATGCTCATATACCCAACTCCTACTCAACAGCTCCATTTTGATGTCTAATAGGCATCTCTAACTTAATACAGCCAAAACTGAACTCATTTTTCACATCAACACTCATTCCTTATTCAGTCTTCCCCATCTCAGTAAATGGCAACTCCATTCCTCCAGTTCCATTTTTTTTTTAAAACAAAAAGCTTGGTAACATCCTTGACTCCCTCTTCTTTTACACTTCAAAGATAATCCAGTGAGCAAATCACGTCAGCTGCCCTTCAAAACACAGTCATAATCCAACCACTTCTCACACCTCTAATGCTACTATCAAATCTAAGCCATGATTACCTCTTGCCTGGCTTATTGCAGAAACCATTCATGCCACCCTTGCCACCTTACACTGTTTCTCAAAGAGATAAAGTAATCCTTTTAAAACCTAACTGTAGAGGATTCATAAAACAAATGTACTTCACAGGGCCTGGTTTTCCAAAGCCTTACAGTTTCAAATATTGACCTTGCAAAGGACAGGAAATTTCCCCCAGGCTATTGAGTCTCCGCTGTAAGATAAAGAGTTGTAACACAGCAAGGTTGCTGACTCAAAGACAGACAAAGTAGTGATTGATATGTAAAGTTACTGGGAAGCTACCGGAGGGAGAAGGAATGTTTGCTAAAATCAAGCTTTTGTTAATGGGTCAAGTTAATTGTGTGTTACCCGCTTCTATTGTTATACTTGTTAAAACCATGTCTATTCTGTAACTTGCTGGTCTGGAGAATAAATGCAGGAAGAGAACCCCAATTCGTGGTTAATTTACCAAATGGAAGGAATGCCTCTCGCTTGAGGGTTCTGAGATATTAACCCCTTTCTGGGGTGTCTCACTGCTCAAAAGAGATGGGCTTTGAGTAATCTTTGGCAGCTCCATCACCCAGCGGAAAAGGGGTGAAAAATCCATAGGAGGGAAAGCAACACCTAACTCAAAACTCTCCAATATCCTCCCATTTTACTCAGAGTCTTATAAAAGCCAAAATCCTTAAAATAACCTTTAAAGTTCTAAGCACTCTGCACGTCTGCATCCTGCCTCTTTTTCATCCTTCGCCTCCTTTGAGTCTTTGAGCAAATGTCACCTTCTCAATGAGGTCTACCCTACCTAAAAATTCAATCTCTGTCCCACCACTGCCTTAGGCAACTGTACTTTCCCTTAGTATCT